ATATATGTATATACACACATGTAAAATATATAAAAAGAGTAGTATTGATAAGGAGTGCTTTTGTCTAATTTTTGACAATTTACTTATCAAAATAAACATCAAACTTTTCGAAAAAAGATATATAAATATGATTCATCATTTTCATGAATGGACTAGATTATTATTAAATGTAGTGCTTCATATGTCGGTAGTAATGTATGTTCATTTACACCATGTAGAGTATGTAATATATATAGTATTACATGTCTTTCTCAACTAACAATGTATCTGTTAAATAAGTAACTTTAAACAGTCGTGAGAAATGTGATTTCTCAGACGGTAAATTTACTGTCCAGGCCATTACACGAACATTACGATTATGCCACTCTTGTACAACATGCCTAAAATAAATAATATATATTGAAAAACATGTTATTTTTTGCAATAAATACTGCATGTAATTACTAAATGTGATGTATGTATTATAAACATCTATGTACATACGGATTTAGTGTATCCTTATGCAACAATACAGCAGACACACCCACAATATAGTATATATAATGGCAGAACATCCATTCATAAATATGATCTAATACACAAGCTGCTATATGTTTGAATGGATTGCTATATATCATTGACCCTAGGCCATCTAAACCTAAATATGATGTTCTTGAAAAATACTGTGGTCTCCATGCTAGACTTGATACAATTCGGGGTTCTTTTCTTCTAATCTGAAATTACACAATTAACATTCTTTTAACATACTTGATATTAATTATACTTGTCTATAAATTAATTTTGTATTGTTTTTTATTAAATTTTTTGTTACCATATATACAACAATGGGATTAAAACTGGATACAATTGCTCTTTGAAATAACTTTGGATACTTCTTATATGCATCTAAAATAATTTGCACAATTTCCATTCTTGTTTCTTTTATATCAATGATTACTCTTTGTTCATTAGATAGACATGTTTCTAAAACTTCGTGAAACAATGGAATTTTTTCACCTTCAATAAATTTGTCCCTATAATAAATAAATAAATGATATTTAAATGCCAGTTTTGCAATATTTTATAATAAAAAGTAATTATCAATTTACTTAAGTGGATGATTATGTGTAATATCTAATTGTTTTAATTGATCCCAGGTCATATCCTTAATAATACCAATTTTTCCAGTAATTCTATCAATTGTAGGGTCATGAAAAACTATAGGCACATTATCTTTTGTAAGAGATAAATCAAATTCAACAGCAGTACAGCCTCTTTCTTTACTCTATAAAGTATTTCACAATGAATTATTTTACTTATAAAGAATACTTATGAAAAATAAAATGTTCTTACTAAAGCAGTAAATTTTTTGTTAGTAACTACTATATTAGTATTCATATTTACATTATAAAATAATATGTAATTGCCTTTGTTATAAGGAAACCTATTATTCCAAACTAGTTAAGAAAAAACAAATGAATTTGTTATCTTTTTTTCTGGAACAATTGACTAATGTAAAAACAAAAACCATTATTATATATATAAGATTTTACATTACGAAAGGCTGTTAAGCTGTTCTCAGGGAAATCATATCCTCCACCACGATGAGCCACCACTCGCATGCAATATTGATCTCCATTACCATGATCTCTGGACATGGTATTATCTTTTTTCAATAAAAAAGGATTTACACCAAGCACTTCTTCCACAATATTTAAATTTGGTGGTGGAACTCTGGCTATCTTTAATCCAACTGTGATTATGAGAGAACCCCAAACAATCCATGGTATGCAGAAATGATAAAAAACACTTATTAAAATGCTCCAAATAACTTGTAAAAATATCCACAATAAAGCACTGTTCAAAATTAGTTCAATAATTCCATGCATCTTTTAAAGAAACTTTTAGTCTTGTTAACGTTTTTTTAAAAAAAGTGAGTTATCAACTGTACGCATACAAGGACTTCAACTATGATATTGCTGTGCAACAGTCTTTATTACTTGCACATATAATTTTGCACATTCTTGTAGTCACTCTAAACTTCTTAGTATGTAGCTATGTTTGATAACGTTTATTTGCTTTACATTATCAACATTTAACAGTAATGATAATTCAATATCTTTGTATCCCTGAAACATTAAATATTCTTTCTGATAATGCATTTGTTAAATGTAATTACATTTAAAATATTAGGAGTTGAATTTTTTAAGTTATTGTCTTACTGGATTATTAATTATTAATTGTATCGTACTTTACAATATAATTACGTCAAACACAGATGACAATTACCGAGTAGTATTTCTAAGTAATGCAAAACTTAATTTAAACTGTAGATGTCATCAGAATGTCTGATGTTAAATGTCAGTTGCACATTGAAAATTAATTATTAAAAAATATTAATGTTTTTGTATTAAAAATATATATAAACGCGCTACACAATACAAACTTGCGCATTGGCACTACTGAGGTTCATGGTACACTATTACCAATTACATCAAATTTGTGTACATGGGATACCTGAGAAAATATATTTATCGTAGCAAAATTAATTTATTATTTGTAATTTAGGACTTGTATATTTTTATTCGTAGATATTCATGAATTAAGGAAGTGAAAAGTAATATTAAATACCTAAATTCGAGGTAGTTTAATTATATTTACATAGCATTCTGTAATTATTATTTTATGTTGAAAAATAATGCATAGAAAAAGTAATAAGTATTCGTATTGCATAATTGTTCAAATATATAGATAACCGTGTAAACAAAACATTTACTGATAAAAATTAATTCAAATATTTTCAAAAATGACACATTTAAATCAAAAACAAATAATGGGAGATTCGTTAGATTTCCTAACAAAGTATTACGGTATATGTAATAAATTAAAAAAGTACGTATTTTGTCAGATATTGTTCTTTTTATAAAACAAATTTTTTTAAAGTGAATTAATTATAATTATTGATAATTTTATTTTAAACGTTTTTTAAGGAAACCAAATGTTGCTGAAGTCAGTGATCAATTTGGTAGGTTTTATGAAAATTTTATGACACATATCTCTTGTGAGATGAAAAATATACAATGTTATTATATATTTATTACAGGTGCATTGGCAATTGAATGTGAACAAAAGGAATTATGGCAATATGCAGGCTTGTGTTCATTAGATGCAGCTAAATGTCAAGGAACATTAGAAAATATTGTTTCTGAGTTAAATTTTTTAGTAAAAGCTGGAAGAGAATTTCTGTTAGGCTGCAATAAGTTGTTTTGGTCATGCTTTAGTACGATGTCATAATCAATCAGGATTGAATACCATGTCAGCTGGACTAGCATTGGAATTAGCATTAGCTTTAGATTCTACTCCAGCTGGTATTCAACAATTACGTATAGCTATTGATATTTTTCCAACTACAAAAGCTATTAGTACATTGGTGTCTTATCATATTAAACAAAGTAAGTACTTGTTTAAATAATTATAGTCAATTGTAATGATTAAATACCAAACATTTGCTTAGGTGATTATGTTTCTGCATTACAAATTCTTAATGACTTTGTTGACTTTATTGAGAGTTATATTAATGCTGGTGCAAGAGGCAATTACAATGTCATATTACACAGGTATTAAATACAATTCAAAATATAACATTATAGTATAATTAGTAATTTATACTATTGTTTAATTGCATTGTCAGGTGTGAAGTAACTAGAGTACTCCTATTACTTATACTTCAACCATCACCACAAAGGCTAGCACCTTCTTTGGCACAGGTTTTGGAGAAGTATGCATGGATAGAAGAAACTGCAAATAATGGCAAGTACTCCAATATTTTTCCTTTTAATAATTGAAGTAGTTTTGCAAACAGGTTGATAAAGAATATGTTACAGATTTTAACATGAGTGAAGATGAACTATTATTGTTGCAATCATTAGTACTAGCATGCCAGTCACATGATTATCAAGCATTGTTGGAATTAGAAGGTGAATTGTGGCCTTATTTAAATGCTGAACAAAAAGAGTTACTGCATAAATTAATTCAAGTGTTAACAGCGCAATAAATGTATATGAATAATTGACAGAAATATTAAATTTGTAAATAATTTAACGAAATCAGTTGTTATAAATCAATATAATTTTATTTTTGTAAGATCCTGAAAAATTTTTTTTCTGTATTTATTTTATCCTTAAATCTTGATGATGAAATATACTGTTGCTTAATTATGTATCATCTAAATGAATCAATCTTTTAAAAGTCGTCTGATGATGCAAGCGACAACTATGTACAAGTTCTCGTGCGTGTACCATCGTTCCCCCCGTTCTTCTCGTAAAGAAGGTAGCTGAATAAACGGACGGTGTCTGTGTGAAACGAAGAACTTGTTGCAGCAGAAAGCAAGGACTCAGGAGGATCAAAGTGTATAGTGTGCGTAATCTTTACAACGATACGTATGATGGTATTGTAGAAGAGGGGATGCCTCGCGTTCCACGAATATACTAAACTCTACTTTCCTATACCAGAAGACGACGCAAGTAGTCAAGACCAAGTCAGTGACTACGTGGACGCGTCTTTGAATCTTTCAGTATTCGCCTGACGTATACACTATTCGTAATTTTGCTCTTAAGGAGGTAATAATTTACGTTCATTTTTACTAATGTACTCGTATCTTATATCTTTCTTTTTCTTTTTCGATTTAATCATTGTATTTTCTATGTTTAAATATAATTTAAGAAATAAAGTTATTAAAGTTCCTATCATAATAATTAATATTAAAGTAAAGATAAATAAATTATTTAAAAATATTTTGTCACGTACTTTTTAAATAATTTCATATGAAGTAAAAGTTTCACTTGTAACTATCATAGAATAATGAATATTGCGTTAGCATAACTAAAAAGTGACGATTAAATTATTTAACGTTCTCCGCACGTATTCCTATTGCATAAAGTAATGTAAAAGTGTTTGTGCTTGATGTGAAAAAGGTGTCTGATGTACTTTAAGTACCGTTAAATGCACGATTCGAACTTTTAATATTTCCTTTTCTTTATATAAAGAAGACTAAATATTATCTCTTATTCTTTTTTTTAAATAATTTTTCTATATTTTTCTTGCACTTTACAAAGTATTCTGTAAATAGAATAAATTGAAGGATTAATTTAATTTCATACGCGTTCATTTAAGAAAAATATTAACCGTTTTTTTAATTTACATTAACTAAATGAATATTCGTTAAGTTATTGCTAATTATGGATGCCATAAACGTAATGATTTACCACGTGTTTTAACAACCTTGAACTCAGTTAGATGCAGGTGAATGTCCGAAACACCTGTGTACTTTACCTTGTACTAAGAACCATATTTATTATTTTCGCTCACGACCATACACCTTACTTAAATTACTTTATATAATACGTACGATTAAAACGATTTAATTCAAGTATAAACTTATTCCGATTACAATGATGGAAAACAATGCATGCATAACATAATTGGGAGAAGTTTTCATCCCTGTGTATAGTATTATAGTTCAATTTGTATCGCGTTTTAACGCGATACTTATACTTAGAACGCAAGTTTTTATGGCCTTTAATAATGTACTGAAAAAAATTTAGAAAAAGCACAAATAGTTCATATTTTTATGATTTCTTCTTGACAGAAGTATGACCAAAGATTGGAGAACTATTTTCGTAACCGGAGGGGCCGGTTACATCGGTAGCCATTGTATCCTTGAACTTTTAGAGAGTGGGTACGATGTTGTTGCAATAGATAATTTTGCTAATAGCGTAACCGAAGGCAGCGGTGAATCCGCGGCACTTAAAAGAGTGGAGCAAATAACAGGGAAAAAAGTTACCTTTTACAGCTGCGATCTCATTGACCGAGACAAACTCGAAACGGTTTTTAACAAGGTACAAAATAGAAGAAAAAATTATTTCCACAACTGTTTCACAATATTACTTGAATCATATAATGTTTTCAATTTTAGCATAAAATAGATTGTGTAATTCATTTCGCGGCAATAAAAGCAGTTGGTGAATCGATGCAAGTTCCGTTGCATTATTATCGAAATAATATAATCGGTGCTATCAATTTATTAGAGGTAAAATGTAAATGAATTTTCGTGTCGCGTTGTTTCTTATATTATAGAGATAAATAAGTTTAGCTTCTTTTTTTTTCCAAGGTAATGAAAGCCGCTGGATGTTTTCAATTAGTTTTTAGTAGTTCTTGTACAGTATACGGAGAACCAAAGGAACTCCCAATTACGGAAGAACATTCAACAGGAAATATTACAAATGTATATGGTAGAACGAAATATTTTATTGAAGAAATGCTTAAAGATATATCGAGAGCTGAAAAGGTGTGCTTTCAATATATTTATAATTGACTAAGTTTTATATTAATACAAGAAATATTTAAAAAATTCGTTCGAAATAAAATATGTACGAAGCCCGATCCTACAAAGCCATTTACAAATTTAATGCCTTATATAGCACAAGTAGCTTTAAGGCATAAGCCTGAACTTGTAATTTTTGGGGGTGATTACCCTACACAAGACGGTACAGGTATGTATAAATTTCTTTTATTTTTTTTTCTATCCAACGTTTAAAGCAACGTCCTCGAAATATTTGTTCTTTTATAGGTATACGTGATTATATTCATGTGATGGATTTAGCGGCCGGTCATGTAGCAGCTTTAAACACTTTACACAAACGACATTTAAGGCTAAAAATTTACAATTTAGGTACTGGCAAAGGTGTATCTGTACTTGAATTGATTAAAACTTTTGAGAATGTCACAGGAACAACAGTACCGTATATAATTAAAGAGAGAAGAGAGGGCGATATAGTATCTATGTATGCTAATACAGATTTAGCAGAAAAAGAATTAGGATGGAGGACCAGATACAACGTTGAACGGATGTGTAAGGCAAATAACATTTCCATTCATACTTTTACAACGAGAATAAAATTATTTTAATATTATTTTTATAGGCGAAGATTTCTGGAGATGGCAAATAATCAATCCTCATGGTTATCGGACTAAACCGGAAAATGATATTAGTGAGCGTGTAAATGGCATTTCATAATAATGTTATTTCATTGTCATAAAGCATGATTAATTTATAATAATAAAAAGACAACAATACTATAATTTGTTTTCACAATATTATAATTTATTTACAACCATATCAGTATTGCTTTGAGCTTCTTTTTCTTCTATTACTGTATATAGTGATAAATGTTGAAACTTTAACACTTCAAGACCCCAACTTGTCCAGCTAGGAAGTAAGTACCTTGCAAATATTTCTAAACATTTTGGTTCACTTGGGAGATACTCTTTCATAACTTCTATAATTTGAAGGAATATTTCATGTATCTTTGTTTATTTTTCTAACATAAATTACTACTGTTATATGATTTTTACCTGTGAGTGGTGGTTTATGAGAATGTACTGCACTTGGTACACTTATTAATAGTTTACCATCAGGAATGTTTATTTCACTTCCATTTAACACAGATCCCAGAACTAGCAGTTCATACGGTTGTTTACCAGGTGCAAAATTAAAATTACATATAGTATTTCCTGCTTGAGTAATCTAAAGTGTGATTAAAATCAAGTGTAGTTTACATCATAACTGCATATTTCAGTAGATGATAAATTTTGAATCAAATTATACACCTACTTTAATCCAATACCATTTCGCTCTGTATGTAATACCCCATGATGGGAATATATCATTAAAGATACTATGTAAATGACTTGGTGCATTGGTGCACCATATTGCAACAAGTCCAGTTGAACATAATAGTTTCCCAATTGGTATTTTGGCCAAATCTTCATTGTACATCATTTTATAGCTGTTTAACATACAAATATAAAATACAATTTGCATAATACATAAAATATTACTTAGAGCAGATTGCTTTTAAGCATGTGAAAAGTTTTAAATATAAAATATATAATTTATCAAAGTAGTCACAAATTGAAATTATTTTAAAATATATTCAACACGAATTTTTTATGGTGAAAAGTTGCATCCAAAATCTTATTTACCCATATGCTCACAAAATTGAGAACAAGAAAAACTTATACTATTATCAAAGTACTTGTTCTCATCAAACTGTTCAGAGAGCTTTCTTTTTTATTGGCTTATATTGAACCATACAAGATCACCTAGCTTCTGAATAGCTGGTTCTTTTCCTTCTTATGGACTTGTTCCACCAAGGAGGATCCAACAATACAAAATCATATTGGTTGCCTAGGTCCAGCTTTGTTGCAATGTCTCCAACATCATAGCAATAAAATCTACATTTCTGAGGGAAAACATATTTTTTGTCCTTTAATTCTGATGTGATAACTACATCTGTATCATTACAACCGTAAAAATTTTCTTCTTCGTTGCAAAATGTATCCTGATAAAATGTTTGTGATGCCAAGCGTGCTGCCTCATTATTATCAGATGATGTGTTAGTAAAAAATAATCCCTCTGCTTTTGCAAATGAAATTATTTTGCTGAATGTTTCTTGAATGTAATTTATCTAAGAAATTATTCACATTGATCATTATAATTATTCCATTTGATAATTAGCCTGTTAAATTTTTCGTTTTTGCTTACATACTTCTTTCAAATCTTCATCTGGTAAAAGCTTAGATCGTTTTCTTTTTCTACTCTTACTTTGTAACAAAATCCCTTCGTTCTGTTCGGATTGAATTATTTGATTTTGTCGTAAATACTGAGAATTTATTTCAAATAACGTTTCATTAAAGACTAGTTTACATCGTGTATCACCATTTTTTACGTTTTTATAAATATTATTAAGATACTTTAAGTGTGACACAATACATCCTTCTTCAGTGGAGAAAATTAAACTCATAATTAACACAAGTACACTACACCACGCATTACATGTAATTGTATACCTTTAATCTACTTGTTCTAATTGTGCTTCTTATTTTCTTGTGTGTATGTATTCAATACCGATGTTCGATTACGAAATACTTTAGGTTTGGGCAAACTTCATAGCATAATCGTTGTTATGGCAACGTATTGTAGATGTTAAGTTAAAGATATGGCGGCTACAGTGGAAGATTGTTAGGTTAGGATAAGTGATTATTTTGCTTGTTTTTCTTGATCTTTTGGCATCTTTTAGTATTGAACATAAATTTCAATTGTAAAATTGAGTGAATAATAGGTGAATGTGTTACGTATTGTAAAGTAAAAGAATATCTGAAAAATATAAAGATGAGAATTGCTGTGGAAGGTTGTGCTCACGGTGAATTAGATATTATTTACGAAACTATTCAAGAAATGGAAAAAGCTGATGGAAAGAAAATTGATTTACTCATTTGTTGTGGAGACTTCCAATCTACGAGAAATTTAAGTGATTTAAATTGCATGGCTGTACCTGATAAATATAAGGACATGTGTACTTTTTATAAGTGAGTTATACAATTTTTCATTATTAAAATAGGAACAGTGAAAAAGGTTAAACTTTATATACATTTCTAATGCTAATGTTTTTCACACTTTTCCTCAAGAGTTTACAAATGTTTACTTTCATAAATGTTTATACAAATCTTATAATACATTATAGATATTACTCTGGGGAAAAAGTTGCTCCTGTGTTAACAATATTTATTGGGGGAAATCATGAAGCTTCAAATTATCTTCAAGAACTACCATATGGTGGATGGGTGGCACCTAATATTTATTATTTTGGGTATGCTAGTGTAATAACAATAGGTGGTATTAGAATAGCAGGGTTATCAGGCATTTATAAAAGTCAACATTGGATGCAAGGACACTATGAAAAGCCACCGTATACTGAAAACACAATTAGGAGTGTGTATCATATTAGGAATTTAGAAGTATTTAGATTAAAGCAGGTAATGTGGTCATTTTCATTTTTTGCTCTAAACATTGTTCTTATAAAAGCAACTAAAAACTAAAAATTTCACCTTTGTTTATTATATTATTTTTCATTTTATTACAATTGTTCATTATTACATGTATTATTTGTAGCTTACTGGTAATATTGATATTTTCTTATCACATGATTGGCCATCAGGAATAACTAAATATGGTGATGAAAATGTTTTATTAAAAGGGAAACCTTTTTTCAAGTAAGCTAATAAAAGCCTTTGTAAAGATGCAATATACTTTGCAAATATGGATATTTAATTCTATAAATATTAATAAGTTTTAAAGTAGTTACAACAGTCCTACTTTTTATTACAGAAATGATATTGAGAATAACATGCTTGGTAGTCTACCCAGTATGGAACTTTTGGAACATCATTATCCAAGCTATTGGTTTTCTGCACATTTACACTGTAAATTTGCAGCTCTTGTTCCTGAAAAAGGAGGAACAAGAGTAACTAAATTTTTAGCACTAGATAAATGTCTCCCAAAAAGAAAATTTCTTCAAATACTTGAATTGGAACATAATCCAGATTTGCCATTGAAATTACATTATGATTTAGAGTGGTTAACAATATTATATTTGACAAATCATTTATTAAGTGTTAAAAGTGGAATTCATTATATGCCTGGACAATATGGTAACACTCGATGGGTATTTACACCATCTGTAGATGAAAAGGCAAAAGTTCTAAAAAAATTTAACTGTAATTTACAAATACCATTAAATTTCATACAAACTGCAAAACCCCACAATCCTGATGCTACAGATGTTTCCGTTGAACCACCACAATTGTTAATAAACAATCAAACTACACAATTTTGCAACACTTTGGGTATTGATGATCCATCTGTTTTATTGCAATTAATGAGCAACACAAAAGAATTGAAATCAAATGAATCATTGATGGAAACGTCATGTGAACAAATATCAAGTTCCCATGACATTTCTATTTCATTTGATGATGACAGTGTTTTAAATTCTACATTTGATGGAAGTTTAACTGGTGATTCATTTAATCAAACATCACCATTAAATTTATCTCCTAAAAGTAATATTGAAGAACAAGAATCAGAAATAAGTAACAGTAAAGATGTAGATGGAAGTCTTAATAATTTATCATCAGCAGTAAATTTTGACTGCACAGATGATAGTGAGTGATATATGATTATTTGATTAGAATTTATACATCATTCTTTTACCTATGCAATAAATACAGTATTTGTGTTTCAGGTAATAAGCATTTCATACAAATTGAACCAAATTGTAAGAAGTTTAAGCGACGAAATTATTCTATATATTCAAATACACTTTAACTACAGTAAAATATTTTATTCAGCAATTAAATTTGGAATATTTTATTTTCAACTAACATAATATTGTACATAAAGAATTTTAATGAATTATGTGATAAAAATATGTACATAAAAGTAATACATATTTTATTATCTTTTGTAAAAAAATCATTTTTCATTGGTATAAAAAAATATCAAAAATATTATTGTACGTTAATTATATTAACTTTTTTATTTAATAAATGCACTTAATTTATTGCTTCCTTTTGTTACTATTACGTTTCCCTTGACTCCTTTGACGTTTGGTAGCATTGTTGTAAATAGTAAAGAGTGCCTTAGCAACACATACTCAAAATAATTATTATCGGGGCTTGAAAACATCGCCACAGGCTTCAAACTTTCAATCGAATGGTATTTTAACGGAAGGAATATTAGTAATCACGTAGCTTTTGATTGGAAGAGTTTCATTTTGGATTATAAAAAAGTCCAGAGGGATTGTTCTGCTTAGTCTGCCGTTAGCGTTCCAAGAGCAAGGCTGTATCGCCGAAAGCATCGTCAGAAATGAAGTATTATTAGGTTAGTTGATTTTTTAAATAGAAATTCCTTGAATTTTTCCCGTTTAATGATACTTATTGTAAATTACAGCATAATTGCATGTAGTAAGCAGTTTAAAATCGATATCTATAATAAATTTTTAATTGCATCAACATTACTGATAGTGTAGATAGTAAAATAAAGTTTCAGATTTATTTTCAGGTACTTTAATTATAGAATAATTGTGTTTCTTGTTAAATAACAATCTACGTGGTTGTTTATAATTATTAGAAGTCTTAAATAAAATTATTGTATACTTTAACTTAATAAAATAGTTAAATATACTACTTTTACATTGAATTAACCACTGCATTCAGTAGATTAATCAGAAATTGTTTGTGACTTCTATTAAAAATTAGAAAAATTAATATTCTTTTCATATGAATTACAAATGGACTTTCCAGGACACCACAAAAATCAAGGAAATGACTTCAACATCTAAAAAAATGAAGAAATGCAGTTATTTATGAAAAAATCAATTATTTACTGTAAGATAACTGTACATAATGTATTTTACAAAAGGTTATAATGTACCTGTATTGTTTTACAGCATTTTACAGTCAATTTATTTTTCCCTTTCACGCGACATCCAGTTCCTACTGCAAAAAACTCATTGTTCAAACAGTATTCCATTGCAAAATTAAACAAACTAAGTCCGGAAAACCTGTCAGGAACGCATAAAAATAGAATAAATAAAAAAAATCTCGAAATTCGAACGATAGCACTAGAGAAATGAGTAAGACCGGGAAAAGAGTACCGGTAGACAAGGATAGTACGAGAGTAATGAGTTAGACAAGGAAAGGAATAGATTTAAACAAGGACAGAAAATTTGAAATCTGAAACTAACGCCATCTCGCGTCTGGTGACGCGAACTACGATTTTTTAATAGGAAAACAGAATATATACAGAGGTATTAGACAAGGAAAGCACTAGTGTGCGAGAAGGACAGAGAGAAAACGCTTTCTATTGGCTGGTGGACCGGCATACTCCGCCACCCACGGACTAATCAAGTCGGTCAGGGAAAAATCATTAATAACTCGATAATTACGACGATTCTGTGAACTTTTAGAATTGAAGAATGTAGTGTGGACTTTTAGCTACTTTCACATATAGTTTTTAATGTAATAGACCCTTTCAATAATAAGTTATTAACAATTATAGTACGTGATGTCGGAACGATAGTGCATACCGTTAAGTATCTTTACAGTTTTTCAATAATTTCATAGCTTTCTGCTAAATTCTCATGCAACTAACTATATGCATCTGAAGGGTAACTTCCTTAGCTACATTCTCATATAATTTTTATTAACATATTCCGTTCAGTTCAAGAGTTATTAAATATTATATGTGAGTATTCCCTTTACATCGAACTCGTGTATAGTCAACTGTCATAAACAATTGCTAATAACTAATAAAACACACCACTTATGATTACCAAACTAATTGAAGAATATAGATAAAAGCCCGTTCCACATTCTGCATGTTTTAAAGTGCGTAATTAGTCACGCATTTCTATGGAAATGACGAAAATGTGTTACGTTTGAATGCGACGCGTGTAATACTCGCTCGAAGAATTTGAAATAACTATGAAACCACAAAGGCTATGTTAATAAAAATTAGGTGAGAATATAGCTAAAGGAGTTACCTTTCAGACGCGTATAGTTAGTTACAGGAGAATTTAGTAGAATGCTACGAAATTATTGAGAAACCGTGAAGGTACTTGACGGTACGCGGTATCGTTCCCGACATCACGTACTATAATTGCTAATAACTAATTATCGAAGGGGTCTAGTGCACTAAAAACTATTTGGGAAAGTAGCTAAAGATCCACGCTACATTCTTCAATCCTAGAAGTTCACAAAATCATCGTAATTATTGAATTATTAATGATTTTTCCCCGACCGACTTGATACAGCGCGTGGGACGTGAAGCTGAGCGGCCAGCGGACCAATAGGAAACGTTCTCTCTCTGTCCTTCTCGCACACTAGTGCTTTCCTTGTCTAATACCTCTGTTCACATTCTGTGTTCCTATTAAAAAATCGTAGTTCCGTCACCAAACGCGAGAAGACTCAGTTTGAAATTTTCTGTCCTTGTCTATCCCTATTGCTTTCCTTAGTTGCCTTGTTTCTCTTCGTTATTGCTATCCTCGTCATCCCTATTATATTTCATTATTACTTCTAATCAATTTTTAATTGCTTTAACATTATTAATAATGTAGATAGTAAAATACAGTTTCTGGTTTATTTTCAAGTACTCTAATTAGTGTTTAATGTTAGACAACAATTTAGACGGTAGTTTATAATTATTAAAGGTATTAAATAAACTTGTTGTATGATTTAACTTAATAAAACAACTTAATTTATTAATATCGCATTCAATTAACGCATGCATACAGTAGATTAGTTAGAAATTCTTTCTAACTTTCATTGAAAATTAGATAAATTAATTACAAATGGACCTTCCAGGACACTACAGAAATCAAGCAAAGGACTCCAATATAAAAAAAAAAATTATTTATTGTAAAGTAACTGCAAAATATCTATTTGACACAAACTTACAATATACTAGTATTGTTTTACAGCAATTTACAGTCTATTCATTTCTCCCAAACACACTACATCCATTTCCTTTTGCGAAAGACTCGTTCTTTAAATAATATTCCATTACAAAATTAAATAAACCAAATCCAGATATCGTTAGGAACGCATAATAATCAAGGAAATCCCGGAATTCGAGCAATAACCTTCGAAAATTGCGCGGAAATAGCGTCGAGAATGTAGACTATTTGTATCTAATGTTACAAATGTTGAGGTTAGGAAATTGTATACTTTACGACGAGATAACATCAATGATTAAACGGGCAAATTCGGAGCGCTTATTTTCTTAGAAATAATTAAGAAATAAGCAAATTAATTGATTATTATTAACATAAAATGGATAAATTAACAATTATTTCTGGAACATTGTTTTTGGCTGCAGATGTATTTGCGATTGTCAGTCTTGCGATGCCCGATTGGATTATTACCGATGTCGGTGGTGAGTGTTATAAATTTTTCTTTCCTTCAGTTTTGCAATTATTTTATGATTCTAGTTATACAATAAATTTTTGTTGTTATGTGCTTGAATATATGTATATTCACGTATACATATGCTACTCCCACATAAACTGTTTACGAAATTATAATGCATGTGAAGCATTATGATTATTACTTGGTTCTTTTTAAACGGTCTGTTCTTTCTTTATTTTTCAGGAGATACAAGATTAGGGCTAATGTGGTCATGTATGACCTTATACAATAGACCCCAAGTGTGTTACAGTCCAGATTTACAACCAGAATGGTTTATGGCTCTTGTTTGTATTTTTGTCGGTTGTATTTTAATAACAGCTACTATAATATTATTAGCTAGTTCTCATTGGGATCGTAACGTTATTCCTTATGCAAGATGGGTAGGATTTACAGCTAGTAAATATATTTAACAATTTTAATTACTCTTTAAGCCTTTCGCGACGACAGAGCTAGCCGTAAATATTTATTATGCGGCGAACAGAGACCACATCGAATTGGCGCATAGTTTGCTTTTTTATTATAAAAGATAAATAACTACTGTTGTTAAACAGAGTTGGACGCTTATTAACTGTTTGGTCACAGAAGAGATTATTACGTAGGATCAGTCTCGCGACCGGTTACCGTAGTGACCATTCGTCGCGAAGGGTTTAATAACTAAAGCTTTAGATAAATTTACAATTACAAATATTATTTTAGTGGTGCTGTTTTGTTTAGCAGCTGTCATATTCCCAATGGGTTTCCATATTGATGAGATTGGTGGACAACCATATCAATTACCAAATTCACACCAAGTTGGTATTTCTTATATTCTTTTTGTTTTAGCTTTATGGATCACAGTAATTTCAGAATTATTTGCTGGCAAAGTTTGTCTCCCACATTTTTAGCATCTTCTACTTCCTAAATGTATGTTATATTGTATTATCTTGATATTACTAGTAGGAATTATATGTATTAAAGCATATGAAACCTTCGAAGTATATGAAAGATTTTGGTATACCAAAACTGTTAAGTATTAAAATCATAATGGGAGTCACTGTCACATAAATGTATTACTAAT